CACACACACATACACACTTACCGATGCTGTTCACCAAGCTGGCAACTTTGGCTCTTCCTTAGTTGCTGAGCGGCAGAGGTGTACGTACTCTATTTCAGCATACTCGATTTTATCGTATTCTTTTTATGACACTCTACTTTTAAAGTGCCCTAAAATAGGGTTATTCTATTCGTAGGAAGTCTAAAACGTAAATACTTTACGGTATACTACCGGTATTCGGTATTCTACGCACTTATTATTTTCTAATGTTACGCGAACGCATTCGATTTGAAAATGGTTGCATTTTGTAACTGTGCCCAGAGAAACATTCAATGTTGCTGCCCAAATGAATCGAGTGGAGATCGCGCACTGGTTAATGAATAGCCATGGTGACACGTGGTGGGATAGGGCCGTCGTTGGAGTTGCAATCGCCGAAAACCATTTGAGCTGTCCAAGTGGCTGTGGCAACGGGTGAAAAGAATCAGCATCAACAAGCTCAGAAAGTGATCTTCATTTGCTGCTGCTAAGGAAAATCTTGACATGCTCAAGTGGATTTGCAGTGCAAATCCATTTGAGCATGTCAAGATTTTTGCACTTTATCGGAAATGTTGCCTCTTGGAGCGGCGTTATCTGCTGCAGTGGATGAAGGTCGTTTGGAGCTGGTCAAGTGGATCATACAACAGCCCGGTGTCGTTCCATACAATTTTCGTATTTTTCTTGACTGCGCGTGTGTCGGAGGGCATGTTGAGGTAGTTAAGTGGGTCGTTCAACACTACCCCACAAATTGCCTGACTGATATCCAAGCCGCTTCAGATGGCCGCTTGGATATCGTGCGTCTTCTGCATGAGAACAACATCGGCGGTTGCAGTAGGAGAGCGATGGCGTTTGCAGCAAGTCAGGGCCATTTTGACATTGTAAAATGGTTGCGTAATTGCAAACACTATGTGGGGGAGTGAAACGGAGGACACTCAGGCGATTACTGGGGCAGCCAGAAACGGAGGACACTCAGGCGATTACTGGGGCAGCCAGAAACGGATTCTTGAATATCGTTAAATGGTTGCACGAGAACACATCGGAAGGATGCAGCTCTTTGGCACTGGATGGGGCTGCTGAGAATAATCATCTTGACGTTATGCAATGGCTGCTGCACCACAATCGAGTGTCCGGTTGCAGCATGAATGCGATGGAGAATGCGGCTGCTAAAGGGTATTTGGGCATTGTGCAGTGATGGAGCAGAAACAGAAAGAGAGGGTGCACAACGCGAGCGATGAGTGTTGCAGCTGCAGGAGGCCATCTCGGAGTTGTGAAGTGGCTACACTACAATAGACAGGAAGGATGTACGGCAGCTTTTGCTGCAAAAAATGGACAACTGGAGGTGGTGAAATGGCTTAGTGCCAATCGATTTGAAGGCTGCACTGTGGCTGCCATGGATGATGCTGCTGCATATGGACATCTCGACGTCGTGAAATGGCTTCACGTCAACAGAGACGAAGGGTGTACAGTAGCCGCAATGGACAATGCCGCCAAGAACGGCCACTTGAACGTGCTCAGTGGCTACATGCCAATCGAAGTGAAGGCTGCACCACCAATGGATGAAGCAGCTATGAATCAATTCTGGGATGTGGTAGAATGGCTTGCTTGGAATAGGAGGAAGGTGGTACTGCCGCGACCATGACCGCCTATGTTTCTCATGGCGACATTGAACTGGTGCCGTTATGTCGGGCCACCGTATTATGATGCTACGGCAATTAAGGATGCTGTGTTGAACGGTCGGTACGAGATTGCGTGGTTTCTTCATCAACACCGACAATGGACCTAGTGCGACGTCATTCAACAGTTGCACGAATGCTCGAGCCCGATACGTCGATGGGAATTTGCGGAGTGGGTGTACTCACACCACCGAGATGAATTTGAGAAAGTGCCGGGAGATATTTTTACCGGGTGGGAGGAATGTGCTCTGCGATCAGAGTTTAAGGAGAATCCTAAATTCTCTGGATTTTAATCCGACGCCAGAATACGTACATGTATACTGGTACAATGTATACCCTTCTAGAATCGGTTGAAGCGTGGAAGATTTATTATATTATTCTCCGTTATACCATATATCCTCTATGGAACTGATGTGACAGCGCAGACGAAATACCTTGCAGGTTTTATATTCTTTCATTTTCATGTTGTTATCTGTAGCAAATATTTTATTTAATCCACACAAGCATTCGGATTTTCTCTTCATACGAGCGACATTCAGCATTTTTTGTCGCAACGGAAACTAAATAAGCAAAGTATCCTCCACAGATGGTAAAAGAAGTAAACGAGTATTATGGCAGCGAAGCTCACGTGCTGTAGCAATAGTACCGTCAATCATATCCGTTGTAGCACGGGCAGATACTGCGGCTGTGAACCAGGGCAGGAGATGCTTGAGGTGTCACGGCACAAGACCGAACGAATCAGTAGGTGATACTATCTATTTAGGCTGGAACCTAGTTTGTACCGCAACATTCCTTCGATTGGCTGCTTTAAAATGTTATTCTTCAGCAAACAAGAGTGTATGTGTTGTCTCTATCTGTTTCAGCGTTGTATGCCCACATGATGCACATAAGTAATCAATAAGCACAGGGTAGCATCAAAATGGATCGGTTAACGTTATTATACACTGGAATGAGTGGAGGATAAATGGAAGGTCTAATTGCCAAGCAACATTTTCTTTTTCTTCTTTTTTATGATTCAACCCCACTATTCTCTCTTGTCATCGACTTGCTTCTTTTGTCGGTAATGACACAAACAACCAGTTTTGGAGAGAGAGAGAGAGAGAGAGAGAGAGAGGGGGGGGGGCATTTTGAGCTTGAGCTGTTTAGTACAGTTTAGCGAAACAAAGTTTTTTAATATCACCCGCCAAAGGGTTAAAACGTATTTTAACCGGCTTACGGTAACACGCCAGTTAGTTTCTTCTAAACATAATTTCAGAGTAGTATTGCATGATAATAGGGGGGGGGGGGGGGGAACCTTGCAAAAAACGTGCTCAAAATTCCCCCC